AATCGGCGCTGAAGTATTATCAAGTTCAAAGTTGCAAATTTTTCTTTTCGGTATTCTCGCTATTTCGGCATTTCCGTTTCAATTCAGTATTCGGACTTTTATTCGGATTTCTGTTATACACGGTATGCTGTTTAATGAGATCCGAGAGATTGATACTAATCCAACATTCTGTTTGATTCGGATTTCTGGGTAGGTATTCGTAATTAGGGTTGAATCAGTATCATGTTTGAAATTCGGGTTTTCTGATGTTCATTCAGCATTCCGTTTTTCGGCATTCTGTTGTAAATACTATATTTCGTTTTCTGTTGAGATTTTCGTTGTTATGAATTTTTTTTGGTTTTCGATCAACTTGGGGAAACCCGAACGTTTTGGGACCGTAAATCCGAAAATTTCGCCGAAACGTGGAAATTAGGGTTGGGACCGAAATTTTCGCAAATTTTTTTTTTTCGTTCTGCTTGTTTGAGAAATTCCGAAAATAGGTTTAGGCTTTTAAAAATCGGATTTTGACGGTGGAAATTCCCGAAAATTCGCATTTTTAAAAATTCGAGCGTTTTTCTTCTGAAATTTTCCGAATTTTTTTTAGCACACTAAGCCGTATCTGACCTTAAATTGCAACTACCGGGCAGTTCACTTATTAAACAGAGAACTCCCGGACTCATAGTGATCTTAAAGAGACCTCATCATAATACCTTTCAAATTCGTTTAGTAATTGGGTATCTTTTGTTTACTGATTATCATTCGGATTTATTTCGTTAATTATCATTAATTAATTTTATTGATTAAATCGTTATAAATTCCTTATTACGAATTTTTCGAAGGGTTTACGGGAAAGTTATTTTTTTCCGTTTGATTAGGTGTCTACAGTCCATCAGTGGGACAGGGGATTGTATGTATATTGCTTGATTGTTCTACCCCTGTTCCCACTCTCCCTACCCCCCGTRTTCTGTGATTACCGGGACTTCTCAAGTACCGCATCAGTTCAGGCTGATGTCGACGGAACAGGACACCGGGGCACTGCCACGACGCAATGCCAGAATCGCAGTTCGTGCCCGCCCTGCAGTACCTCCAAGACCGAAGAAACTCAGCAGACGGACGACTCCAGCAGCATCAAGTACGGCATTGACGGTACAAGACGCCACCGGAGATCATCCCGCATACCCAGTCCGAGGAGCCAACGAGCCAGCGACTGATTATCGTGGGCGGCTACTGGCATTTTCAGAAGCCGTAGCTGCCGTCGAGGCCCGGAAGGAGACAGCAGAGGCAGAACGTCAGCGGCTAGCCAATGAAGCGGCAGCCGAAGCTCAACGAACGACTGAGACTGACGCAGTGACACGAGACAGACGGAATGCCAGCAGCACGGAGTCCTTGATTGCTTGTGAGCATCAATGGACGACGATACTCCAAGACATGATCTTTGTGCCTACAGAAGCGCAGGCAGACCCGACACCGGCGGAGGCAGAGAGAAGTAACCTGGCTAACTTGCTGCTGGGCATGATGAGAGGTATTATGTGGAATAATACACTGCTGCAGTCACATCTGCGCACGGACGCGACGCAGCGACAAACATACAATAATGATATCACTACGTTAACAACTGCTATCCGCACAGAGGCAATACAGCAGCAGCAACAGCATCAACTGTTGAATTCCACTATCACACGCGTCAACAGCATAGAGGCTAACACCTCAGCAGCGCCAGGCTGCACGACAGACGTGACGAAGCAACTCAACGAGCGCATCGATCACGTCGTCACCATCATCGGCGACATAAGTACTTTCAACGGACCAGACTCGATCAGCAGCACGGTGGCCGCCATCAAGACGGACATCACCAAGCTACAGACGAGATCGGAAGCCGCTACAAAGACGTTCAAGATGCCGCACTTCGACATCAGCAAGTTYGACGATTACAACAAGTCGGACRCCTTGTCATGGTGGCAACGCTTCCTCACGGAAGCATCATGCCGCATGGTCCCRGCGGACGACATGTTGAAGGCACTATATCTGMAGCTGATTGGAGGAGCGCAGGGATGGATGAACCACCTAGCGGCTACACACAAGTGCACAATCGCCGAACTCCACACGCACATTACGTGGAAGGAGTTCGAGCAGCTATGGTTCACC